CAACAAAAATTGATACTATGTGTTCATTATAGTCCATTCCTCCTCGACGAACAAGTACATAAGTGAAAATTTAGTCAAAGACGAAAAAACTGCCAAAGAAATATGCCATGCGACTTCCCCTTCTGACGTCATAAGGGGAATTTCTGTATGCAAATAAGAAACTAATGAGGAGCCTCGTTTTAAAATACACAAAAATAAAGTTGCTGTAGATTGAGTTTAAAACACATTTTTTCACTTAAAAAAATAATTCATGCTTAGAAATATAAAATAATAATAATATTTATGCATCAATGGATAATTTTAGGCGTGAAAATAGCAGCCATTTCACAGGCACTTTAAATACATAGGCAGGACTCCAGAAGACGTACCTACACTTTATGCAAATTTGTTTTTAATTATGCTAATTTATTCATGACGTAGCAGTTTATGTGCTCATGAATATTCATCATTTTGTGGGTCAATAAATTCTAAAAGGGGCGATATATTATTTTTGGGGGAAGAGTTAGAAAGGGAGATTAGCAATCCTTAGGGGGTCAATACAAAAGAAGGGACTAATTTGGAGAGCAGGCTTGCTCTTCGTTTCTGTTGTTGCACGTGACCTACAGCTGTCAACTGTCTTCGTATTTCGACTGGCTTCCATGTGAGGTAGTATTCTTGTGTTCTGTCTTTCTGACTTGAGTTCTTGATATACAGAAGTGTCCTGTCCTGATTTGAAATTGCAATCTTTGAGTTCCCAGCGCACTGTCTTGTCCACTGTACCACGAGTTTCTTCACAAGTGACAGGATTTAAGTTCTACTTATAGGAGCACTGTTTTCACAAGCATTCAAAAATCATGCTAACCGTACTGGATTTGAACCAGCGATCTTTCACATTGCCTACATTGTACATATCCACTGAACCATGTGAATAGTCATGCAAATGAATGATTTGTTTTCATATTTAGCTTTATTGCAAATTAGTGTTTGCGAGAAAAGACTGGCAGGCATGGGAATTGAACCCAGGTCCTCCTGAACACTGCGTAGACAACTGACCCAAAAGACCACAATGAATTGACTGGATGTGTTTGCATCTGATAAGACTATATAATGTGTATATATATAGAAATACAACATATTTCATGCAGTTTTGCATGGTGGAATGTTGTGAGGTTTTTTTTTATTTTTCGCGACGCTCTTTGTTTACTTGTTACGGTTTGAGGGATTTCAAGTTTATTTTATTTACGTTTTTACGGTAGCTCTGAGTGGGACTCGAACCCACTGTCTTATCAAGCTAATTAGTCCT